CTCCTTTACATAAGATTCCTCCGCTTCCTATATATCCTTCGCTCTAATCATCGTTTTCTTAAAACAGTGATTCTCTAATGCTATTGAACACTTTTGGTGCTGCATTTCTGAGTAGCATGTAGTAGTGGGTTGAGTTGAGTAGTGATGGACAGATTACTAGTTCCATTGAAACGAAGTGATCAGTAAGGTTCTAGTGATTTTGTAATTGATACGCTGAATAAATCTGCTTTGTAGTGTACTGTGATAGGGGAACGTTTTGGTAATATGTAACAGTGGAGGAATGGGAACTGACCACTGACGGAGCATTGAAGTTACTACTCAGCAACGTTCTTAAAATTATATCTTTTGTGTTTATGCCATCAACTTGCTCTTACCTTTTTCCATTTTCAAAGGATAGTAATCTCTTCAAAAGTCGTTTGAGTTTACTGAGAAGAATAAGTTCCTAAAATGAGATTTAGAAGGCTGTTAAAAGTAATTTCAACGTTTTTGAAGTTATCAGTCAGCTAAAAGAGATGCTGTTTTTCTAGACTGATGGCTGGGCAGAGTTAGTGAAGCAAGATCCTGCTTTAGTGACTGAAGTTGTATCGGCTATCGCTGCTGCAGATCCTCGCGCAACCGTGCCGAACGCCAATAATTCTTCTTGTATATTTTAGTGTTTTATTTTATGATTTTATTAAAGACGAAATTTTTCCTTCTGATTCTTGTGATTTTGCAGCTGGGATGTTGGAACCGACGCCAAAGAGATGTCGTATGGGTGGTATGTGAGAATGTCATGATTTTTCGTTTATTGGTTTCTCCTGTACAAAGAGTTTGTGTTATATTACTTTCTTACGTCCGGGTTTTTCTTTTTCTTTCTTTTAATTTTTGCTAATGTACAAAAGCAGCTTTCTAACGTGTTAATTGAACTTTTAACTTACAGTCTTTTGGTTCATTTATAAACGGTAAAGTGATAAGTTGCAACGAATAAGGATCTTCAAATGTGGTATTAAGTTGTAACACATGAAGCGTCCTAACGGGCATGAAACTTTGAGGCCTTATAGCTTCATCCGTATTAACCATAATTAGTAAAATTATGCATATTTTGAGTTCTCATGTTTCTTTTTCACTTAGGTACCGATTTACAATTTTTTCCTTACAGAACTGACTTGCTAGATTTTTAGAAACTCTTCCTTGTCAGTCCCGGGCTGTTAGATTTTTTAATTGAATTTCTGAGCTCTAACGGCATGTATCTGAAGCAAAATTTCAAATAATATTTCATTGGAAAGAATACGGGGATTTACAAGGTGTTTTTTCTAAATAATCATGTTTGTATGAAAAAAGTTACGGTATTTTACAGTTTTAATGCACGTGCGGGCATCTTATGTTGCAACCTAGTACGTTAGTTGTTAACTTTTTTCGAAGCTACTGTTTTTTGAATATTTATTACTTCCTTTGAAATTGATGTCTTTAGTGTTACTAGTGTTTCCTTCTTAGATAGGTTTTGTTTCAAAATACAATATTCGTTGGAAAAACTTTGTGAACTTTGTTTCGCTTACATGTTGATTCATTTTTCTATGAGGCAATATGTGAACAGCAGTCAATTGCGGCAAAGCCGCCTGATTTTTTGAACATTTTTCTCTCTTTATGAGTGCAGAGTTTTTGTCTCTTCAAATTTGTATACACATGTTTTGTTCGTCTTAAGTCATGATCTCTTGTCATTTGTAGTGTGTATTAAATTATATTCCTAAATATCTCCGCCGCGGAAGGCTTTCACCACTTCGCTCATTTAAAAGTGTATTTCTATGAAAGTTGTCTGGGACTGTGCGTTAGAAAGCAAGTATTAACGCGGAACTTTCGGTGTGGCTTTAAGTTTCTGAATGTATCAAATGTAGAATATTTTGAGCAAAACTATTGGGTTGTTTCAGATTATTGAAGAGAATGTTTTATATTTTGTCTGTGGAGGTTTGTGTTTGAGGGCGTTTTATTGCCATTCTTCTATTTCTAATATTGCTTTTGTCAATTATTGCTCCTGATTTCACGATGTGGTTGGACATGTTATTTTGTTGTCATATTAGATCTACTTGTTATTTGTATATTCAGGAACCTCAGTTGACCATGTAGAAGATGGCGTTTTTCTTGCTTATTGTTGTTTTTTTGCAAGTGTCGTCTGTCACACTTTGTTTCGTTTCTATATTTCTACGTTTATTCCTCCTTCAATAAGATTTGCTGAATATGTAAAACGGTGAATTTCTAAGATTGCTAATGAACAATGAAAAGGTTTGGGTTTGTTGGCACATAAATTATTGAATTATGACATATGAGTAATTTTCACTTTCATAGTGGCTCCTGAATCACATTAATGATGCAATGTGTGGCTTAAGGGGTTCTTTGTCACTTTATGATATTCCCAAAGGAAGCAAACTTCGATATCATTATAATTTCTTTCTGCCTTTTTCTTTCCGTTAATGGAATGCCTAACTTCACTAGAGAATGTGGTATTATCAGTAGTGATCTCTGAGCTTCTGCATTCGAGCATGTTGACTTACTGCTAGGTAGGGGTAATTCTGAATCAGAGGCAGAACTTTGGTTCTTAGAGGTGTCAGCTAAATAGTCTTGCTTCTACCTTAAACAGTTCTTGGAGGTCATAGTTTTACCTGCAAAGCTGAAGTATTTTTGCAGTGGTTATGAGAGAGTATTTTGGTCATGAAGGTAGAAATTTTTAGATAATTTTGAGAGGCAGGCCGGTACAAAGTTCAACATACAAAGTGCACTGCTAGCATTTCAAGACAAGTTGTATTGAAAAAGCACAAATTATAGAACATCGAAGTGGATGCAGTTTGGTTTGGTGAGGTTGGGTTGCTGATTATTTTCGTAATGCAAGTTTAAGTTTGCTTTTACGACCAAAATTCATTGAGGTGGACGTTATCTGATAAGGCCGATGACCGGGGGTTGTCGATGTTGTTTGTTCGTTTTTTCAAGGGAGTGCGGCCGAGTATCATAGTTTCTGTCAGCGACGGTGATTTTTTTGTTTTTCTTTAAGATGTAAAACGTAATTTGAATTACTTGTGTTTCGCTTCACTTACATTGCCAGTTTCAGTTTTTTTCCAGTACCACCTCTCGGTACAATTACTGCATTGATTAGTTTTAAATAGTCTATGAAAGCGAAGGCTTTTATAGTACTGAAAGCCCCCGTTTTTTTCAGAGAGGAAGAGAATCGGGACTTTAAAAATTTGTGTTTTACTCGCTTACTTTGGAATTTTATTCTTTTGGTTTTTTCACGCAGAAATTAACCCTTATAACTTGTGCAAATTGTAGCTGTGACATTGATGTCGTTTTCTTTATAATGGTTTCTGGATCAACGTGTACCTAGTGGTATTTGTTTGTAGTTTTATGAAGTATCACTAATTGAAGCTAGAAAGTAAGCCCAGACTAATTTAAAGATTTTCCGATTATGATGCAGCTAAGGCCATTCTATAATTTTACGGTAATTGTGTGTCAAAATGGGCGAGAACGTCGGACCGGCTTGAATATTTAAATCTGGGTTTTTTTCTCGTATAGAGCATACAAGTAACTAAATTTTTAAGGAGATTTAGATGTAAAAAGATACTGTGTGGTAGAGGCCGACGTAAAGTAGGGTTGATGCGGGTCTGACCGTTGGTATCCAGCGGCCCGACTCAATGAGGAAAGGCTTTGTATTGTATCGAATGGGCCTAAGCAAATGGTCCGCAAAGTGGTATACCTGTTGCAAGGGGAAAGTCGGTTATTTGTTTATTTTTCTTCCTTGTTCTATTGCCCAGTGATAACTGCTGTTTGACGGATTTGAGAATTTTGCCGTTCAGAAGTTGATCAAACCTTTTTTCTTTTCGCAGTCCTTCGTTTTTTTCCACTCCACTTTGTTTCTTTATATTTTATCGGCTATTTAAATGTCGTGTACTGCCTTCTGGTTATAATTTTGTTAAGAAGATCTGCACCACTACTGCCTAAATAAAAGTTTAGCTCACGAAATATGCATTTTCAAGGGTACCGAAACATTGGCCACACTCACTTGTCGCTGGCAAATAAAATTTCTTCATCCTACATTCTCTAAAGCAGTCCTAATAAGATTTTCAATTGCGTTTTGCAGTTACAGACTGGATTTTCCAAGATGATGAATCCACAACGGTTCTGCGTAACTGCAGCATTAAAGCATTGCAGGTTTGAAAAGCTTTTGAAATTGTTTACCTCGCCTTCATGCGACCCCTTATTACTTATATTTCTTCATACCAAGCACAGTTTTTTAATCTTGGTGTTTTTGATGCTTTCAACCCTATATGAAATTTTGGGCTTGGCGCAACAACAATACGATGGCAAGCAACAGCTGCTAAAGCCGAAGAAACTGTTGGGAAGGAACGAAAGAAGGCTGGAAATGAAGTAGCACCGGTAATTCTTAGCAAAAAGTGAACTGTTATTAGTGAAATGGTTGTGGAGTCATCTTGTGGCATTAGCATTATTTTCAGGAGAGTGCTTCGTTTGTAATGAATTTGTTTTGTGGCCGAGCTGAGATAAAAAATGTAATTCCTTTTCCTGCGAAACTTACTGAGGAGAGGAAGGAAATGCTGCATATGTTATTGCCACCGACAGAGAAGTTTTTAACTGAGATCAACAATCCCGTGAAGTCAGCTTCAAAAGCTCATTATTCTTTGTCTTACTCTTTCAAATGAATTTGCACTTAGAAGCTCATTGTTGATGTGGAGTCGAATTTTTTGGGAGTGAACTACCAGTTACCTGACGAAGGATGGCCGAATGAGAAAAAAATTGGAATTATCTCATTAATGTTTCTTTTATTGTTGTTCTTTTAGAAATGATGAAAATGCAGAGATACCTATGGATGTTTTAAAGCAATTCGGCGAACTCGGAGGTTTTGGTGCATTAGTGCCCGAGGAGTATGGTGGTGCAGGAATGAACAACACACAAATGGCTAGGCTAGCTGAGGTGATAGGAGCCAATGACCTTGCTATGGGAGTCGTGATGGGAGCCCATCAGGTTATACAATGAAGGACTTTCGTTTACTTTTCTACATGCGTCGAATTGCTCATTCGTGTGTTTTTTTAGTCGATCGGCTACAAAGGTATTTTGCTTTTCGGAAATGATGAAATGAAAAAGAAGTATTTACCGGATTTGGCCAGCGGACGTCGGTTTGCCTGCTTTTGTTTGACTGAACCGAGTAGTGGTTCTGATGCAAATGTACTTCTTAAAGTCACTTTTTAGTTGCGTCGTAAGAAACTGTTCTTTTTTTACGATTTTAAAATTTATCTACTGCAGTCTATTCGAACAAGAGCTGAAAAGACCCCTGATGGCAAACATTACGTCATTAATGGAAGTAAAATTTGGATTAGCAATGGTGCTATAGCCGACGTGTTTACAGTTTTTGCTCAGGTTTGGCATTAAAGTAGCTATTTGTAAATTGCTTTAGGGATTGGTGAAACGGGACAGTAAATTCGAATAAATTCAGACTCCCGTCAAAGGACCAGACGGAACAATTAAGGACAAGATTTCTGCCTTTGTAGTCGAAAGAAGTTTTGGCGGTGTTACTAATGGCCCACCAGAAAAGAAAATGGGTATTAAAGGTTCTAATACAACGGAAGTGTATTTCGACAATACTAAAGTTCCAGTGGAGAATTTAATTGGAAGTAGGTTGAACTTTTTTTTGACACTAATTCATCAGCAGTTATCCAGCTTATTGAAAGGTCTTCAGAGGAAGGCGAGGGATTTAAGATTGCAATGAACATTCTTAATAACGGTCGGTTTGGAATTCCAGCTGCTTGTACTGGTGCGATGAAGACGTGTATTATCAAAACAGTATGAGTTTGATAATTTCAAGTTTATTTGCCAGTCGTATTTTAATTCAATCTTCTGGAATTGGAAATAAAAAATTTTTCAGATTGAACACGTTAATGAAAGAACTCAGTTTGGAAAGAAGCTAAAAGACTTTGAGAATGTGAAGGAGCAGTTAGTTGACATGGTTCTTAGACATTATGCTACCGAAGTAAGTTTACAAATGGATTTGAATTACTACTGAGCTAAAACAGAGGTCATTATTGAAGTTATGAATCTTAGTTTTAAAGTAAATACAGTTTTTATCGTGCCCCAAGAGAATTTCTTTTGGATAATTCATCTGAGACTTATAAAATAAGTAAGCCTAACTGTAACCTAACTGTAATATTTTGTTCTATAGAGTGTCCTCTATCTGCTTGCTGCAACGATGGATAAAGGAGTAACTGATTATCAGTTAGAAGCTGCCATTGGGAAAGTTATGGCATCGGTAATTTTGATAAAAATTTTTATTTGAAGGCAAGTTTTGTAGGCTGAATGTTTCAGACCTTTTTCTTTTTTCTGCAATTGATATTTTTATTTTATACAACCAGATTCAAGGAAAGGCTGAGCATTACTTTGAGTAAGTTATTATTTGGGAAGACTGTAGCAATTACTCAGATGGTTTTGAGGAAAATGCTTGGATGGTCTGCGATACTGCTATTCAGCTTCACGGTGGTATGGGGTACATGAAAGAATGTGGTTTGGAGAGAGTTATGCGTGACCTTCGAATATTTCGCTTGTTTGAGGGTGCAAATGACGTTCTTAGACTTTTTATTTCTCTTGCTGGGATGCAGGTTATTTGGATTTTGGTTTCAAAATTCCAGGCTCTAGCTGCTTCAGGTTACGTATTGAGGATTAGAACGTGAAACATTTGGAAGTTAAATTTTCCAAAGCTGCAGAAATTATAAAAGAATAAAGTAGTTTTTACATGATTAATTGTTCTTGAAACAGCTAGGGAGGATATCCTAAATTTTTTTTATGCAACTGGTTTGAAGGAACAATGAGCTGTTTATTAACCAAAAAAATTTTTCGCTTTTTCAGTTCGCAGGAAGAAGACTTAAATATATAACCAAACAAATGAAGAGCGGCGGGATATCGGTAATGTTCAATGAATTTATGAGACGTGCATCAGGGTAAGAGGGGTTTCATTTTTCTTTTGTAATGAAGCTACTCTACGTAATTCCTGAACTAGTTTTTAAAGCTTCTTTTGCCTAAATAATTTTGTGGGGCACACACTGCTTAAGTGACTGACGGTTCCTTATTGAAAAAAAAGTGTTTTTATTATTTAGAAGTATCGGTGTTGATATGACTACGGTAACGGATGTGTCACTCATTGACGGGGCAAAACAGTTAAATGGCGTTATTAAAGAATTTGGGAAAGCTGTTGAAAGCCTCCTGTTAACTCATCGAAAAGAAATAATTGGTTGGAGTATATGGTTAACTGCTGAAAAAATCTTGTTTTAGTTTTGTCGAAGCTTTTGTTTTTTTTTTTTTTTGAAAAGCTGTTACAAATATTATTCAAGGCAAGCAGTGGGAACTCATCAGAATGGCCAATGCTGCTATTGATATTTTCACAATGACAGCAGTTCTTGCTAGGTGTTCCAAAACTTTGGCCTCACAGGAAAACTCTTCAAACGAAGTAAATATGGCATTACTGCTCTGCGACCAGGTTTGACTTTGCTAAATATTGATTTTTCTTCTATAATCTTTGGTTCTAAAGATTGTATTGCTTTATTTCGCTCAAGATACCATTTTTGAGAGGGCATACGCATTATTCTCAATTATACTTTGTTTTCATAGTCTTTTCCCTAAAACTTCGTACTTTCTCTTACATGATGGCAAAATTGTAGTGTTACAAGCGGGCTCTCTTAAACATCTCGCAGTCCGTAACTCCTTCAAAATATCAACAGAAATTAGTTGAATCTATTGCGACTGAAGTTTGTGAGGCAGGCCGCTTGGTTCAGACCCATCCAATCGACGTTTGACATGTCGAAGAAATTCGATTATGTCTTGCAATTCTTTAAAGCAGTGAAGAGTGATGCGTCTTTCTGCGGTCCTGTAGTTTTTTTGTTGATAATCTGGCGTGTTTAAATGACTTTGCACCCCCTATAATTGCTGTCGTCTGATGCGTCCCAATTCATCCGTGACGAAGGGTCGCTTTGTAGTATCAGTTCTTAAATTATTTCGATTCTCGAGTGAATGAAGAAGTCCTTAATTTTTTTCACATGCTGATTGAAAAATATTGCTTCGTTATTAAGCAGGAATTTAAGGAAGAATATTTTTGAGGTACAGATGTTTAAATAGTTAAGTACTACGTAATTCCAACTGGATAATATGATTCTTTACCTAGTGTATTGTTTTAGCTCTCTCTTTTCGCTTCCAGCTAATTGAGATTTATAAACTGTCTGTGATCAGGCATCTCGGGATTTTTCAATATTAATGTTACTAATTCATTTATTCTTTTTCCTCACTAATTTTTGTATAAAGTTTTAATTCTTACTGTTGTTTGCTTGAGAGGTGCATTCGAGGCAGAAATAGTCATAGTGTTCGTCTTGTGACGACGAATTCAGTGGGGAATCACTTTGTTTTCAGAATTCTGCTGGGTTATTTCGCGATCGACCACCAAGACTTCTGCCGCAACTATGCCTTTTGGTTCCGCTGAAGGTTACTTCTCAAAAGTGCTTTTCGGAACTTCGGAGCGTTTATAGATTCAGAAGTATCGCTTCCTTGTACTTTTTAGGGAATTTTACTCTCCTGTGTTTTAAAGCACCCACTAATTTGCATGTCGTGCTGAGTTCAGAAGGTATCAAAGAGTTCATGCAAATCCTTAACCGGCTAACTAGCTACTTGCAAAGACAACACTTGTAGCCTCTCAAAGGCCTGACTTTATCACGTGTACTAAAAGCTCCCCAAAAAAATCTCTACCCGAGGAAGTTCAGTTATTTTGAAAATTCAAAACGTGGTCGTTTCTGCGGGCTCTACTAGAGTTCGCTAATTTTACCAGTACTTTACTAAACAAGAAATTTTTGCTGTCATTTTGGGTCGCATCCCGGCAACGCCCACTAGCATTTTTGCAGAGTGGCTCAATGCCCACGGGATAACGACAACATCGCATTTCAAAACAAGAGATCAACACGGGTAATTCTAACACTTACAACCAGGTTGACCTACGCCCTGAATACATTAAGCACTGATAAAACTACACACAACAAACTACGCAATTTGGAAGTTACTAACAAGAAAATTTTGAAAAGCCTCTATTAGGAACAGAATATACAACGCAACAAAACTATACCATCAAAAGAAAAGCAAATTTTGAACAGTTAACGACTGAAAATCCTCTCCAACAGGAAGATGCATTTATGACAGCAAAAACTATCAGCCATTTCAAGAAATTGAGAAATTGCTTCCAGCAAAGAAAAAGTAATACTGATTTTTCACTTGCGATATTGTCCGTGTCCTAGCTAGACAAAGTAAGATACAAGACCAGAGTGGTTGAAGGTGCAGAAACTATAGCATTCCCTGCTAGTGGCGGCACAGTATCAAAGTTAATAGGTATAGTTATTTACACGCAAGATAAACAACATAATCTTCTAAGATACCAAATATTATATTAATGCTTAACCATTTTTGAAAATTCCAATTAAACAACGCCATCAACAAACACATAGGGAAGGAAAGTATAATGAGACGGTTGCAGCTTCATCAAAAGAGGCCTAAGTTTGATAAGAACCGGAAGTAACCATAACAGTCCCTAATTATTACACAGATTTTGAAAAAGTGAAACCTAAATAAATTCAGTTTTGAAAACGTCTGGCCTCTCTGATACAGAGAATTCTTTACGCCCCTTCCTTTTTTCCTTTTCTTTTTCCAAATAGACAAAAATAACGATAATCGTTACCCACAATATAAAAACCCTCTAGATCTGAGCACATCAGTAGCCTCTGGAGGAGGAGATTTAAAGACTGAAGAATTGCACACATTTGGAATGCAGTTTGTGCATTATGAGTCTGAGTACGCGAAAGTCTTAACAGAAGACCAAAAGACATTGGGAACACAAACTAGTCATCAAGTCAAAAAATTAACTTCACGGCTTTAACTTTTTCTTGCAGGAGTACTACAAAAAAAGCTCCGCCGACAGCTACTTCTACATCGGCTTGGTAATACTGCATTGTTGGAATTAGAAACGCCCTGAAGTTCAGCAGCACATGACCTACAAAATAATCATAGGTTCGATCCCATTCCTCAGACCACTAGCCCGCTAAGAATTTTACATACTGGGAAAAAAATGAAGTTACCTTCTTCTTGACAAGGAGAGCAAAGACGGTAACGACTTCATAGGACGACTCTCTTAAAGTACATACTATCAGTCAATGTAACGACATATTAAAAACAGAAAGGCTATACTTGTTTCATGTGACTGTTAAGAAATTTTATTTATTCCTTCCCCATGCAACTTATCGTCCCCTTCCAACTGTAGACTCTTCCATATTTCTTGAATAACAAAAACTGGATTTTTATCTAAATTTTTTACATACCTTCACAAGCTGAACTACGGTACAGCGAAGAGAAAACTACATCCCTTTCGTTAAGCGTTGGCGAAAGCACCATTAAGTTCTAAAAAAAATACACAAATGAAAGGGATCCTTCGTACTCTAAACTTACTACTAATGTTTACGGAGTAAAAATACTAATTTTCAGTCCCCTCTAAGAATGTTGGATTGATAAATAAGAGGAACAAAAACATATTTAAAGCAGTTATATAAAAGAGAACCTGAAATTCTAATTTAACACAAGATTATTCTCCGTTAAAGTTACCTCAGAATTATTTTCTGAAAAGCACCTCGAGCTTGAAAAGAGCTTTTCTGCTTCAATTAACATCTTCCTTTCTAAAGCATCATCAAGAAGCGTTGGAGAAACAGCAATTCCAGGATTTTTAAGTAGTTCCTGGAGAACACAAACCTTTCAATTTATGTTTTCAAAGTTTTGGCAAAAAGTGCAGATGTTATCGTAACTATGAGGAATTTCAGTGTAACTTTAAGTAGAGGAAGATAACGAGAACAGAAACAAATCAAACAGAAGATAAATGACTTCTTCATGAAGCAGAAAGTCGTCATCACTACGAGCAAGTACCGCCTCCACTAAACGCTCGTGTTCATGGAGGCCATAGGTATCTTCCAACCAAAAAATACTTCCTTCTACGCCTTCCGCTAGTGCACTGCCTCCGAGACTTGCTGAATTGAGAACAGTGAAACTGTACAAAAAAATGAAAACGAATGAGAAGTTAATTAGTTGCTCTAAAAGTCCTTGGCGTTTGAAGTACTATTTTCTTGTTATTGTATAAAGAAA